GTTTTTCCTGAATCTCTTTATCCGCAGGGTCATCGAATTCACCGGTTAAAAGTTTTTCTCGATTACCACTTAAAACATGATTTGATATATATTGAATATCTCGATTTTCATAAGGCATTTTTTCATAACAAAGTTCCCAAATAAGCATTCCAAAACTGAATAAAAAATATTATAATTGTTAATAATTTGAATAAATATGTAATCTTAAAAAAGCCAATGAAATTAAATAATAAATACCTGAACATTTCACAATGAAATGTATAATGATATTTCTTGTCATCATGTCTTTTGTCTTTATATTTCTTAATCTGTTCAGGAGCCATCCAACGAATAATGTTAGTGACTAAGTGTTCAAGATTTCTCGTCTTCGCATCTGCTTTACGGGCACATTTGAAATTTCCAATTTTAGGATCCAAGTTGTGTAGTACCTATATAATTAAATATACTTGTTACTAGTTGAATGTTATATGCTAAAATAATTTTATTTTATTATTATACATACGAAAATATTTTCGCATCTCATATCATGATGAAAAACATCTGCACTTCGTAAAAACACAAGACCGCGACAAATATCTCGAAGAATACATATTTTTCTTGTCCAAGGAATATCATAAGAGCTGTAGACCTCTCTTAATGTTCCATGATCAGCCCAATCAAAAACCATAACGTCCCGGTTATCAATATTTGAAAGACCATAAAAATGGAGAATGTATTGTGATTGACCTAATATTCCAAGGATTGCTAATTCAATTTCAAAATCGTGCGATTTATCTTTGACACATTTACATGCAACATCCACATAATTTCTATAAAATTTCTTAACAGTAGGATAAGATTCTGAACCACGAATATCTCTCTCTGTAAAAGCAAAAGGGTCACTCAAATGATCTGGAGGAATTCTTGGAACATGAATATTGTTTGATTGTGCATCCATTTGGGATCTTAAAATGTTCATGCCTTGAACAACCACATCGAGCTGATTACTAACATTCTTGAGAGTCTAAAAGTAGATAAGCGAAAGAATAACATTTACATTAAGGTAATAAGAAATAAGTAATTCTAGATAAGTATTTCTAAATAACTATACATACATCTTCAACGTTCTTTAGAGAATTATCAACTTTTTGGGCTTCTAGCCTTCTTTGGCTTTCGCTAGCAATTGCCATAGTAAACTGTAACTCTTTCATACATATATCATATTCTTGTATTAATTTATCAAATTTTTTTTTAATTTCTGTTGCGTTAAGAAATTTTCTATAACCTTCAATTTTTGAAACCTTATTTGTAAAATCCTTAATATTTTTTAAAACAATTTCAAATCTTTTAAAAGATAAAAAACATTTTTGAAAATAACTTTCATTCTTATTTGAATCTAACATTTCATTCATAGCACATTCTGCAATTGCTACTCTATTCACCATAATCAAACAAATCTCTTTATTACATTCTGCATCTTCGTAAATTTTTTTAACTTCATCAATCAAAATTTTCACCATATTAATAAAAGGAACGTATAAACCTGCGATTTCGGCAGCAGTTAAAACAGCATGGGCCGCAGCGCCACTAAGATTAGAGCCATCATCGTTAGTAGTCATGATTAAGTGTTTTACGCTATTTTTTTTTTTTAAACTATCGCTATTTTTTAATGGTTATTTTAATGTTTATAGGTAGTTTTAGTTTTGGAATGCGTTACCAACCGGTTTTGAATGGAATACAGAGTACAGTGTCTATAAATTGCCAATCATTACGCATCCTGAATATGAAATGAATATCTCGGATGTTGTACAACCATGCAGCATTTATACGTATAGTACGTAATTCTAATCTTGAAATTGTTTATCATGCTTCCGGAGGTGGATGTATGTTGTAAGAATCCATAAAGATGCTATTTTTTGGTCACTAATAGACTAAAAATGTCATATATGCTAACGCTAAATGAAAAAATATCTACGTTACTTTTTTATATTATATGGACTTCTAAGGGCGGCCTATTCGGTCCGAATTAAAATTAAAAGGGCCGGCCCGATCTAACATAAAGTCCGACATGGAGATAGTCAACTTTGAAAGCTTTTTAACGAATAAAGAAAACTAAATAATCCCTAATTCTGCAATAAATTAAGCGCTATAAACCGTAAATGAACATATAAAAAAGGGTAAAATAATACAATACAACAATAGCATAGTGCGGCGTATATTATAAAATAAATCGTTAATTCCGGAGCGAAATGGATAATTATTTTTAAATCCTAAAAAACAGGTGGAAACGTCCAAATATAGATACGATTTTCATTCTCTGTTACACAGATCACTCATTGTATCGACCAGTCAAAATATCACTACGGGATTAGTCAACCAATCAAATTGCGAAATTT